TTTTTTTTTTTAAAAGCAATTTATTGGGTTTTACAATAATAATAAACATAATGAACAATATAACATTTGTCTTAACATAGTTTCACATTTTCTTTGGACTTCCTCACATCCCCCGCTCCCACTTTCATCGTTATAACATTTTGTCAGCAATTTATCATCTTATTTAAATTCTTATATCTCTTCAATGTTTCATAATCTTATGGTTCTCATAAAGAGTTAAACTTTCACAGTCTTACTTGTTTTCTTAAAAACTTCTAAGTTAAGTGGTGCTCAGTTATTTAGTCTAGCATCTTATTTAGCATTCACTCAAATCACAATATTTTTGTAGATAGTTCTTAAATTTCTTCCAATCCTCCTCGATTCTCTCTTCTCCCAGGTCACGGATTCTGCCAGTCATTTCAGCCAGTTCCATGTAGTCTATCAGTTGCATCTGCCATTCTTCCAGTGTGGGTAAATCTTGAGTTTTCCAATGTTTTGCAAGAAGTATCCTTGCTGCTGTTGTTGCATACATAAAAATGTCTGGTCCTTCTTTGCCACCCCTTGGCTGACAATACCCAGAAGGAAAGCCTCTGGTTTCTTGGTAAAGGTATATTTAAATACCTTTTTCAATTCATTATAAATCATTTCCCAGAACGCCTTCACTTTAGGGCAGGTCCACCAGAGGTGGAAGAACGTTCCCTCACACTCTTTACATTTCCAACACTTATTATCAGACAGGTGGTAAATTTTTGCAAGTTTAACTGGGGTCATATACCATCTATAAATCATTTTCATTACATTTTCTTTCAGAGCGTTACATGCAGTAAATTTCAATCCATTACTCCACAACTTTTCCCAGTCCTCAAACATAATATTATACCCAATGTCCTGTGCCCACCTTATCATAGCCGATTTAACCATTTCATCTTGTGTATTCCATTCCAACAGCAAGTTATACATCCTTGAAAGTACCTTAGTCTTTGGTTCTAACAATTCTGTTTCTAATTTCGATTTCTCCACCTGGAACCCTAGTTTCTTATCATTTTTAAAAACTTCTTTAATCTGAGCGTAATGTAACCAATCTCGCACTTTGTCTTTCATTTTCTCCAAACTCTGCAGTTTCCAATTGTCTCCATCTTTTTCTAGTATTTCCCAATATTTTGGCCATTTAGCCTCCATATTGGGTCTTTTTCGGGCCTTAGCTTCCAAAGGTGAAAGCCACCTTGGTGTTTTATTTTCCAGCAAGTCTTTATATTTTGTCCAGACATTAAACAATGATTTTCTGACAATATGGTTCTTGAAGGCCTTATTTGCTTTAACTTTGTCATACCATAAATATGCATGCCATCCAAAAACATTATTAAACCCTTCCAAATCCAACACATCAGTGTCTTCAAGAAGTAGCCAGTCTTTTAGCCAGCAGAACGCTGCGGCTTCATAATACAACTTTAAGTCCGGCAGGGCAAAGCCCCTCTTTGTTTTGCATCACTTAATATCATAAACTTGATTCTGGGCTATTTGCCCTGCCAGACAAACTTGGAAATATCTCTCTGCCACTTCTGAAAGCACTCCGTTTTGTCCAAAACCTGAAGTGTTTGAAATAAAAACAACATCCTTGGCAATACATTCATCTTAATAGCAGCAATTCGGCCTAACAAAGAAAGTTTCAATTTTGACCAACTGTCTAAGTCTCTCTTAATTTCTGTCCAACATTTTTCATAGTTATCCTTAAATAGACTTAGATTTTTTGCTGTTATGTTTACCCCTAGGTATTTTACTTTATTAACCACATTAAGTTCCGTCTCATTCTGAAACCGTTCTGACTCTGTATCAGTCAAATTTTTCCCCAAAACCTTAGTTTTCTGTTTATTTAATTTAAATCCCGCCACCCGACCAAAATCATTAATCAATTGTAATACTCTTTTCGTACTGGGCTCTGGCTTCTGCAAGGTCAAAACCAGGTCATCTGCAAAAGCTTTTAGTTTATATTGTTTCTGACCAACCTGAATTCCTTCAACCAACCGATCCCCTCTAATCATGTTCAGTAGCACTTCCAGAACCGAAATAAATAGCAAAGGGGAAATAGGGCAACCTTGTCGTGTCCCTTTTTCAATTTTGAACTCTTCTGTAACCACATTATTAACTATCAGTTTAGCTTTCTGTTCTGAATATATCGCCTCAATCCCATTCTCAAAACCCCGTCCCACTCCCATCTCTTTTAAATTTCCCATCATAAATTTCCAAGAAATATTGTCAAAGGCCTTCTCCGCATCTATGAAAATTAAAACTGCTTTTGTATTTATATCTGTTTGCAGAAGTTCCAAGATGTCAATAATGTTCCTTGTGTTAGCAAACAGATGTCTGCCTGGGAGAAAACCGGCCTGGTCCTTATGAATTACTTCATTTAATACTTTTTAAATCTACTTGCCAAAATGTCTGCAAATATTTTGTAATCCACATTTAAAAGAGAGATGGGACGGTAGTTCTTCAATTGTGTCTTTTCAGCTTCTGACTTTGGTATTAATGTGATGAACGCTTCCTTCCACGAATCCGGTGCCCTCTTCCCCTCAATAATTTCATTGCTGACCTCCATCAAAGGTTGTATCAAATAGTCTTTTAATGTCTTGTAATACTTGGAGGTCAGCCCATCTGGCCCTGGAGATTTGCCAAGTTGCATGTTCTGAATAGCTTGTTCAATCTCCTGTCGTGTTATTTTAGAGTTCAGGATTGTCCTGTTTTCTTGAGACAATTTAGATAGTCCATTTTTGCCAAAAATTGTTTAATCTCAACTTCGTCTTGCGGCCCTTGGGTGTATAATTTTTAAAATATCTCTGGAAACACTTTCTAATATCCACTGGATTCTGAATGTTTTTTCCATCAACCTCTAAGTTTGTAACCGTGTTTAATCTTTGTCTTCTCTTCAACTGCCAAGCTAGCAGTTTTCCACATTTATTCGCCGACTCAAACGTTTTTGTTTCATTAATTTAACCTTCCATTCAATTTCCTGATTTATCAATTTAGAATATTGTGTTTGATAGAGTTTAATTTCTCTCAGAGTTGGCTGTGACTTTGGATTCGCTCTTAATTTCTTCTCTAATTCTTTTAATTTGTCCAAGATCTTATCTTTTTTCTCATTTTGTGTTCTTTTCTTTACTACATTCTGTTGTATCAAGAATCCCCTCATTACAGCTTTGCTTGCGTCCCAGACAATTCTTTTTCCACCGAATTGTTCATGTTTATCTCAAAATAGTCCTTCAAAACTTTTTGGGCCTTCTTGGTAATTTCCTGATCTCTAAACAAATTGTCATTCATCTTCCATCTAAAGGATCCAGTTGGTAGTAGTGTCATATCCATCTTTACTGCATTATGGTCAGAGCAGGTCTTTGGGCAGATTTCCACTTTTCTGACCTTAGGTGCCAGGCCTCTGGAAATCCATATTTGGTCGATTCTTGTCCAGGTCAGTTGGGCTTCAGAAAAGAATGTTCCTTCTCTACCTAGTGGGTTCTTTGTCCTCCAAATGTCAATCAAATCCATATTGTCAGTCATTTCAAAAAAGTTTTAGGTAGTCTGCCGTCTTTTGTAACATTTTGACTTTGTGACTTGTCCATGTTAGTTGACACGACCCCGTTCATGTCTCCCATCATTATGATGTTGTTGTAATCCAGATATTCCAGCATTGTCCCCTGCAGCTTCTTGTAAAATTCCGATTTCCCTTCGTTAGGTGCATAGATTCCTAATATCAACAGTTTCTCTCCTTGATATTGTATCTCAATGGCCAAAATTCTTCCATGTTCATCTTTAAATAAGAATTTAGGTGACAGGCTCTCTTTTGCATATATCACCACGCCTCTCTTCTTAACTTTGTCCGACGAAACAAATTCCTGGCCCAATCTTTTATTTATTAACACTTTTCTGTGGAGCCTCGTCACATGTGTTTCTTGTAAACAGATAATGTCCAATTGTTCTTTTTTAATATATGAAATATTTTCTTCCTTTTCCGGAATATTACAACCATTAATATTCCAACTCAGCAATTGCAGAGACATCCTGGATCTATCTGGTTATTTCTCCAGGGGTGGTGTCTTCTCTGGATCTTCAAGTTCCCCAGGTGCTGGTGTTGATACTGGCTTTGCCCCAGGCCCAAGGGGTAATTCAGTTCCTTTTTGAAGGTCCTCTCCGTATGTAGCCAAAAATTTGTCTCTCTCTTCCAATGTTCTAACTTTGACCTTTCTCCCTTTAAAGGTAAAAGATATTCCTTGTGGAAATTCCCACCTGAATGGAATTGCGTTGCTCCTTAGTAGTTTAGCAAGTTCAGAATAGGCGGCTCTAAGATCCAGCAGTTGTCTTGGGATATCTTTATAAATTTCAATTCTTCTGTCCAAAACCTCCAGTGACTTTCCGTAATGTAGGCCCAGAATCTTATCCCTTTCCTCCTTTGATCTCAATGTAATCAAACAGTCTCTGGGCCTCTCCTTCTTTGTGAATCTTCCAAGTCTGAAAGCCGACACAATTTTAAAATCCTTTTCTTCCAAATTCCAGAACTTGGAAAATTCTTTGGTCAAAAACTCAGTTAAATTTCCTTCTTCTGCCTCTTGTAATGATCTAATCCTCAAATTATTCTCACGATTTCGCAGTTCTATCATGGAAAGATAAGTCTGATGTTCCCCAACTTGTTTGGTGAGTGGCCTTACCTCTTGCTCTAAATTTTCCAATTTTTGTCTGGTATCCTCAGCCAATTTCCGATTTTCTGCTGAGGCCTCCGTTAACTGTCCAATTGCTTGTGTATTCTGTACAACTTGTATGGTTAATTTATTTAGACATTCTGTATTTTTGTCAATC